ATTTTACACTAAAATGTAAATTTTACGAAAGTGCACCATTATTCTCTAGCTCTGTATCTCGTTCGGAATACGAAATTTCTCAATTAAAATGTGATGCCAAAGGATCGGCAGAGTTTGACGGGGCAAAAACCATTGAACATTTAAGCGTGTGCATGAAAAGCCTCTTTCAAATCGCATTTTCATGAATTTTCAGATAGAGTCGATGCTGTGCAGTTCTATGAAATCAAACACCACTGCTCGATAGTTTTGCATCACTAGATGAGTCTAATCTGAGAGCGACAGCCGAACCAAATAATTTCATCCAAATTTGATGCACCAATATATGCATATGATCGCTTATTGTCTCTCGCTCTTTGCATCTCACTTCCTCTTTTTTTTCTCGTCGATGAAGAGTAAGTCCATTAGAGTGGTTTGCGAAATCGAACAAAAAAAAAGAAATCGAACCGTTGACGAAATGAATTGAGCATTTTGGGATTTGATGGCGAGCAGCAGCTGTTATTTGATTTTATCGTAGGGCATTTTCAGAAACTGTGAATATGACTAAAACTCGTAACAATCATCGTTATAGTCACCGTTGCTTCATCCACTTTGCATACCATCAAAATGCACTTTAGCAGTTCGCAGTGTGCATTTTCCATTAAAACTGCCGAAATTTTCAAATATCGATTTGCATGCCTCAACAGCAGGAAAATCCATCAGGCCTGAAGCCGTACGGTGCGGTACGAAACCCCATTAGAAAAAGACGTCCAAATTCATCGATGTCAATTGGATTTGCACATAATAAACTTCAGGATAGTGCAAAATCACACGCACACGCACACGCATGTACATTTCACAACCTACTCACACTAGTGAGTGACGGCCGAGTGAGCTAGCAGATTTCATGTGAAATTTTCGGTTATTGATTGACACCAGTTGGCACACATCAAATACGATTAGGTTAATTTAATAAGACTATCGATGTTCAAATGCGAGAGTTATTTGGCCGTGCATGTGTCAAAGTTATAAATCGAAAAATTAGGTATATTAGTTCGAGTAATCTGTGATGTTTGCGTTCTCATGTATTAATCGGATTCGGCATCGGTTCAGCGCCGCTGTGTTTGATTTTCAAATCAATTTTTCATGAAGGCCATCGAACAAAAACAGCTCAACACACACACATAAATACAACATCCATTGGACAAGTCTTAATTAAGGTGATTTGGTAAAGATTATCGGTGCATTTTCGTCGGATTTTTCAAATTCACATTATCCGAAGATTTACTTCAAATGTTAAGCTAAGTACACAGTTCCTCGTGAAATGAAAAAATTTCTCCGGCGAAATTTTTACAGGTGATATTTTTATGGTGTTTTTTATTTTCGAGTTGCAAGCATAATGATTTTTGATGTATGAAACAGTTAACTCCCTCCAATATCAACACAACACATGAAACTAATTTGAATTTTGAATTCATTTCGTAATGTATTTTGATCTTTCTTATTTTTTCACCGCCGTGAAAAAATTCCGCGTACATTTTGCACGCGAAATATTTTTCACAACCGTGAAAAAAAATTGTTTAGACAAAACACATAGAAGAATGAAGTCAAAAACCAAATTTGTTCATATGCCGTGTTGATATTGGAATGAGTTAGCTGTTTTATACATCAAAAATGATTATGCTTGCAATTCGAAAATAAAAAACACCATAAAATTATCACCTGTGAAAATTTCACCGGAGAAATTTTCACAGTTCACAAGGAACTGTGTACTTAGCTTTCACAAGATCCTTAGATTCCAGGACATGCATTTGAATTAAACTGAAGCATAGTCGTGGGAATGTTCACAATACATAGAAAGCCAACCATATCGATGCCAAATCTTCACCGATGTGTACTTGTATGAAATGCTGAAACAATTCCAATTGAAGGCACAACATTAACACATACAATTGGACATTACTTCAAAACGTTTCATCAAATGATCCTGAGGAATAATTTAAATGTTGCAATGAATTGAGCATGCAATTACGTAGGAGCATAAAAAAAAGTTATACCTATTTCCCACATGGATCATGACCAATGAATAAATAATCGTGTGGGTTTGATTGTGAAGCAAAATATTGAATTTGAATTTAATTGAAAGAGGTTTTGTCGTAGACATTTTATCGGTAGCAAATAAATTATGAATACCTCATCAATGATGATTTCTTATGTTGACAAATCGTGCAGTTAGGCGGTTTTGTCACAACGAGCGAGGGGATGGGACTAGGTGAAATTCATAATTTATAATGACAACAATTCAGTAAAATGATTTGAATTCCGTTAAAAATGCATGAATTGTTCCTCGAGCACATAGTTAGTTATCAGAGCAGTGAGGTAGACAAACGTATGCGCACCAGTGTCAATGTTCTGTTTATTTTCCCTGCTGTATTCCTCATTGATGAACTCTCTTGCAGAGTCGATCGCATATTTTTTGAAAAAGAATCATTCATGCTTGGGTCTCACGATATGCGGACTTGTCACTTGAATGCGTGCTCGCTGCACAATGAACTCTGTACAAATATTGGATTTGAAAATTAAGAAAATATAATGCAGTTTTTCTTCTTCTTCTTCTTCTTCTTCTCCTTCTTCTTTACCTCTGATCCCCATCCAAAATCAGATAGCGTGCTCGCATGCAAACCATTTACGAATATCGTTTATTCACAATTTTTAAATAGCTTTTTCGAACGGCTTTCGTTGCTCACTGTAGACCAAACCAACGAAATGAACGAACCACCGATGCACGTACACATTTTCCGTGTGTCGCATGGAAGAGAATTTTGAAGCAGGCGACGAACACACATGAAAATTACTGATTTGATTCACGATAATTTTTTATACTATTTGAAAATTACTTACATATACTTCATTCGATGCATAAGAGCCTGCATAAATTCAATGTTTAATCAAATGTAGAATAATAAAAAAAAAATGGAATAGGATAAAATTGAGACATTTGAAGGGATAATTTCCAAACGTAAACCATTTTTTACTTTGAATTTAACGTGGAAAATCCTGAATTGGCTTGCAATTCAAATTAAGTCAAACATTGATTTATTGCTCGCAAAATAACTAACACATATCGATAAAATGCTTATTGCTGGGGAACAATTTCGCTAAATACTTGCACAAAATGCTCATGGTTTTTGGCTCGTCCAGACTCTAATCACATTCCCCGGCCATATTTGCTTCATCAAAATAATGCACACATAAATATTAAAATTAGGGTTGAATTTTTTTCTGTTCCGTCTACAAATGTTCCGTGGCATATGCTTTGGTGCTATGTTGGGTGGTGTTTTTCTTTTCGTACATTGGTCAATAACGGTATTGTTATTGGGTGAATAGCGTGCTGTGATTGCAGTTATGCTTCGTATGAGAAAATAACTTTGGCGACGCAAATTATCCGTGGTGTGTACCTTTGTGTGTTCGTTGCACCATGCTCATCCACTTCAGGGACCCGGGCAATGAATAGTACATGTATACATTCAACGTTGAATGGCCAACCGAAGAGACACAACCAAAACCACCCAAACGCCACTGCCAAATGTTGACACAACAAAACAAAGTTATGTTCTATATATACGTGTATGTTATGAAGAAGAAGAAGTGGAAAAAAAAGAAGCGTGTTGTCTGGCTTCCATATCGTCTCAAGCGTTGGTGTATTGCAAACTGTATTCTTGCATACCGGCGTGCATACTTTTGATATTTTCTTAACATGCAAGTACCCGACAAACATTTAGATAAAGAAAGTTGTACTGTTGCTTTCGCTTCTTTATATCATATTATTTGGTTTTCATGTTTCGCTTTTCGACGCTCACTGCCATGCCACCACCACTGTCATCGTCGCTGCTTTTGCTTGGCTGGCTGGCTGACTGTGTTGTTCTTCTTGTATCTTAGGATATTCGGACGCAGCAGACAGTGGTGGATATACGCTTTCATATTTGCCAGACGATTGTTAGCTGAAATATGAGAAAGCCAAAATCAGTTGCGATTACGAAAGTCTCAAGCAAAACTTAGAGAGAGAAAATCCATGTTTACACAGTTCGAGTGTGCCGAAAACTCAAACCGTATTGCTGTCAGCATGCTACAATTTGTCGAATCAATAATCACTGGATATTATTATTCCGCCGTTGGCTTCGACGAGACACTACGATAGCAAAAAAAAAAACAAGCAGAAAAAACATACAACAAAACGTCCCATTCGAATTTCAACATTACATGAACGTGTTTTCCGCTTTCAATCCAAGAGTAAGAGAGACGAGAATGTGCCAACGATTAAGAACCATTGCAGCTTTGATTGTTGAATATATGGGAATTGTCGCAATTAGATGCCATTTACTTGAACACACAGTATCGAGTTGAAAGGGGAGAAACAAGTGTTTTTTTCTCAAAGTTTAATCACTAGATGTGCTTAGGCGTCTAGAGGCAATGTTAAATACAGTGAAATGGTGAAATAAGTGCAACGAACTTGGTCGAAAAATTAAATGGGAAACATTTACCGATTCGGTGAATGGAGCTACCATACGAAATACGATCTCATTAACACATGCATGGAGACGGTAAGTATTTTAAGACGATTTTTCGATACACGTCATTGCTGTTTTAAATACACATATTTTAACATCTTATTTAAAAATTTATTCATCTTTTGTCTCCACGTCCCAATTCTTTGCTTACAAATGTATCCCTTGTATATCTTGTCTGTGAATCGCTTAAAAAACATGTCGATACATCGAGAATTTGTTTTCTCTTCTTCTTCAAACAGCAGAACGAAAATATGGCATCAACGGCAACCAATGAACTTCATACGCGTATTTCAACGCAGCTTAAATAAATAGCCCAATTAAACCAGCCTTTACAAACAACTCTGTATACAAACCCATTCTGGAGCATGAACATCTTCGTCGTCGTCGCCGCCACATATGGATGACGTATAATCAAATAAAACAGCAGCTGAAACTAAGATAGCGCCGGCTACATTATTTGATAAGTTAATTTGAGTTCTTTTCTTTATTCGTTTTTTTTTGTAAATAATAATCCATTTATTAAAAAATATGTATGTGCATTTGATAGACATGTAGAAAAATGTACGATCCAATGTTTAAACAATTTTACAACCAATTTTCAGTTCAATTCTTTTAAGTACACGCAGAATTAAAAAAAGAACTATATTTCAAGTATGAGTTTTGCGTTTTCATTTCGAAAAAAAAATGGAAATGATTATGTTCTAGACTCTTTTTTTTCAAATGGTTCCTTCCACATAATCAATAACCAAAAAAGGACAAAAAAAATGCTTCAGATAATAGTAGCTGCTGTATTGGGCGAGTGAGACTCGAAAAGTGTATTAAAATAAATAACAAAGTAGTAGAATTTATAAAAGAAAAACCTATTGCTGTTTCCTGCGTTCAGTATTCAAACGGTGCACAATTTTTTCTGTTACTATTGTTCTTAATGTTATATACTATTTCAGTTCGTTTATTGTTCATTGTTCATTGTCAAGTGTCGGCCTGTAGTTAGCTAACCATTATTGGTGGTTCGATTGGAAGACTTTTGCTAGTTTGCTTGCATGGACCGTCTGCCGCGCGATGTTGCAATAAAATATCAATCAATACAAATATTTACACGTAGAAAAAAATAAATTTCAAACCAAATTCAATTTGGTTTTTCTAACAATAAGACACTTTCTGCGGGACGTTCGGTTTCCTTTCTCTTTCTTTAGCAAAATGCAATTTGTTCGAATTGTTCGTTGAATAGTTTTTTTTTTGTTATTGATTTAGATTCGTGCTCGTCCATAACCTCCGGTATTGATATCGAATAGCTTTCGCACAAAGTATACCTGTTTTGTTTTTTGAACGAGAAAAGTGAGAAAAACCCGAATTGAGTTGGTTTCGAAATTTAATGGCAAATGAAAATTGCATAAAATAGTTGCAAAAATGGTTTCCTGTTTATGTGCGAATTGGGCACACTTACCTGAATGGAGCACGTCAATAAAATGACGAATATTTGAATCATTGACCAATTTTGCACATACGCATTGTTGTCGATCAATAGTGCAAAGTCACGAGCCTCTGAACTCCGTGTATGCGATTGATACTGAAGCATACCGTTTATGTTCCGTTCGACGGTTCCAATTGTTTGCTGAAAATGGTTGTAATAAAATCGAGAGGTGCATTAAAAATTAAAAGCGTCGTTTTTTTTGGAGCTGATGTGAGCAACGTGCACTCGTCCATACACTCGCACACATTGCTCGCGCACATCGCTATAAAAAAAACCAAATTGCGAACTTTAACTCACCGTAAAATTTTGCATATTCAATTGTAATCCTTCGATTTCCTGCGCATATTTAGTCCATTGATCGTATTTGATAACGGTGATATAAATGTTGACCAATTTGCTGGCAAAACGAGAGAATTGATTGTCTAAACAAACGGCATAATAACCGCCCGTCGACGATGGTTCCGAATAATCGGATGAGGGTAACCATTCATATGCTTTAACCAGCTGACCATTGGGATGTCGTATCGCCAGGCCGGCTTTACCATCACCTCCCCGGATAACCTATGAACGAAATTATTAATTGAAAAAAATCAAACACACAAACACTATGTAATGAGATTTGTCTTATGTGCGCGTCGTTGCCATCACCGTCACCGTCGCAACACGAAATGTGGGCCAACCGGACGCAGGGTATATCTCTCAAGTGGATGAGAGACACTCACCGCCGTGAGTCCCTTCGGATTTTACCAATTCGTCCATCATGTGTTGGGATATGGAATTGGATGAAATGTGCGCGCACAATAATCACAACGAACAATGCTGCAGTGCACGGTCGGTCATACACACATAAGCCGTGCGGTAAATAAAGGACACACAATGAAATCGAATGAAATTACCTGAAAACTGACGTAGAGCGTTGCGCCTGGCTGAACGTACTGATAATAACAATCTTCTTTACCAGCTGGTAAATGCACTTTATAATCCATGGCAACGGCTGGCAATGCCTCGTACCATGGTTGCTTCTCAATTTGCGCGGTTACATTGTCAATGAACAAAATTGCCGACACAAAATAAATTATAAGAAAAACTATTGTTGTTCGCGATGTGAATTGAATGTGCCACGTACTGTGCGCCATCATGAACACTAATGACTTTTTCAACGTTGAAGCTGTCAATTCCAAAGTGTGTATACACACGAAGAGAGAGACCCGACCAACCGACGACAACAAAAACCAGTATTTTTTTTTTTTTTCGTTCCCGTCTGTCTCGCTTTCACCTTTTTTCGAAAGAGAAATGTCGGAAGAGGTATAGAGAGTGAGTGAGTGAGTGAGCGAGCGAGCGAGCGAGCGGACGAACAACGACGTATGTCTGTGTTTAAGAGATGTGAAAGGCAAAAAGACAAAAATGGAATACAATCAAACATCAGTTTGCGGTTAAAACACACAAACAGCTCGACTCGACTCAATGAAGAACGTGCATGCATTGCTTATCTCAGCACATTCTCGAGAGCTTCCGAAACACTTTTCTATACACAGAGCGCACACATATACACGATGTGATACACATTGCCATCGCGTTGACTGGAGCCAAGAACCGAAGCGCAAACCGAATGAAATGGAATGAAATGATACAAGATGACAGAATACACGCACGTCGTACAACGTTCTCTCTTCATACCGCTTAAGCGCACACTGCTTAAAAACAAGTGTCAAAAAGCGGTTTGAATGTGGCGGTGGTGGTGCTGGTTGAAGAATCATTTCAACATTCAAAGTGTTACATTTTTATACATTGACTTCTCTTTCACATCGAATCGACTCGCCTACATGGGTATGTGTGTGTGTGCGTCGGTGTTGGTAATGTTTACAGTTTTCGAATTGTTTCGAGCCACTTGTCCAAAATCCAAACTTACACGTACTTCAAATGCATCGAATGTGTTTCGTGTTCAAGTAAATATCTATCAATATGGACTACCGAATGATTGTTTTGATTTTTGTCGATGTTTCAACGTATTGAGTGCGGCGATTATGTTGTTTTCTTGGAGGGGCAATTTCAAAGTTTCAATTCCGTATTTTACATCGAATATTTCGATAGAATGCTGAGCTGAGCGAAATATATTTCATGGACATCAAACTAATTTCAATAAATTTGCTCATTGGTCTGACTTCAGGTCATTCAGGTCACAACTTTGGACAAAGTGTACAAGATAAATGATGAAAATGAATAGGAAATGTGTTGCCTTCAGGAAATATTAAGAAAATTTGATTTCGACATTTTGGATTGGGCTAATGTTTCCTCGACGAACGATTGTGATACCAAATTCCGATAGTCAGCCTCGTTTCAACCGGTATACTAAATATTTGGGCTTGCTCAACTTGTGCCAAGCTAATCGGTTACGTTCGTACGAACGCAACACACATGTCAAAGGTATAAAAGGTGAAATGAAATTGAATCGGCCCATTCAATCCAGGAGGTTCAATTGGTATGCACTGCTGGTGACTGTCTCTCTCGCTTGCTTGCTTTCATTTGCTTTCTCTTGCTCACTCTTCCCCTCTCGGTCGCTCTGTGGATTACATGTGAGCATTATCTGTATTGATAATTTACGTTGGCCAATTGATGAGAAAATCACCTTCAAGTAAAAATGATTTCAATTCAAAATATCCAAGAAGAAAATATCACGTAAACTGATGGGCATTTTGGCAAACAGACGGTTTCTCGGCATTAAAATGCGAACATAGTCGCCAAAAGTAATTTAAATGGGAAATTTTGAACAACAAAGAATTCGTATTCACAATGTGAATTTCACATGAAGCACCAGCGTTTCGAAGACAAGACGAGCATAGTTTTGTATGGTAGCGGTGTTGTCTGCTGGAACATATTTGCGAATTGATAGCAAAAAGGCAGAGTGAAACACGTTCTGTGTTTGTGATGGCATACAGTGTATGCCATACACACACAATAGATGCAAAATTGTATAACAAAAATCGAAAGCGTAATTCATGCAAATTCCCTTTTTTCTATCTAACGATATATTACGACAAAATATCCAACCGAAAACTTTTCAGACGACGGGAGAACGCTTTGCTTATTCGGTATGGAAATGGATGAAAAAAGCGTGAGGAAAAGAGAAAAAAAGATGTGATAATACATCGCCGAATAGAATGGAATCGCTTCAATGGAACACACTTAATGCCAATGGAAGTCACAAGAAAATTTTGCAATGCCTTTTATACTTATGCATGGCGACACGCTCATTTTTTTTATTTTTGCTGCTCACTGTCGACATTTTACCATGATCAACATTAGATGGGTGAGAAATGCTCCAAACCCAATCTAATCTCCCTTCAAGTTAAACTGATGCATGTAGCAGATAAGTGTCATAGTTTGAAAACATTCAATTATGTTTTGTTCTTCGAAAGTTTTCAAATGGAAATGAGCGATACGAAAAATTCCAATAAGAAACTGAGCCCTGAAGTTGAAAATTAAAATTATATCTTTTTTTTTAAATATAAAGTTTCATACTTCCTTCATGACATCGACCTGAATCTTATGTGTAGTGGTTAATTAAAAAATTATTTTGCCAATAAAAAATATTTCGCATGTTCATGTACTTCAAGTGCGAGGATTTCTGTTTTATTTGTAGCATTTAGATCGGTTTTTATTTATTTCATATTGTGTAAATTTAGATGCCTATCGACTTGATTTGAATAAAAGGTAGCACAGATTCACTTCCAACCATTGTCAGCTCATCAAATTCGGGATTCAGTGTTTTCTTAATCAAATGGAGCTGTAATGTGGTGATTTTTTCTATGTAAAAAACTGCACGAATGCAAGAATGATGAGTGACTCGCTAACGGCGGTAGAATATAAAAAGCAGAAAAGAGACTAATTCAAATATTAGACAAATTTGAGATTCTTTGCTCATTTGAAAGATCAAGTTTTATGTTCAAATTAAATTCCCAAGTACTAAGTGATAGAAATGGTTTTTGTATCAATGACATCGTTTCTTTCTGTTGGCACAACTTCTTTTGTGTGTGTATAATGTTGTTGTTGCGATGGCTGGTCCGCTGCATATGAAAATGCTGTAAAATATGCAAGAGCGATTTTTGGTGCATTGAACGTCGAGCTGATGATGCTTTAAAACGAAAAAGTCAATCGCATATATGCATATACATGCACATGCCATGCCATGCAAGTGAAATGAGTGTGTGGCTGTAATTTGCAAGATATCAAAATGAACGACTAGAACGTGGCCCCACATTCAATGTGGAAAATTTAAATGTTTGAATTTTGCAAAATGTTTACCCAAAACTGTGTTCAAACTATCTCGTTCTCTCTCTTTCTTTCTCTGTCTGTCTGTCTCTTTCTCTTGCTTTCTCGATGCAAGCATACATTATAAGGAATTAAATTAGGATATAGAGACGCACTCAATCCATTTTATATTGAGATGGAGTTTAGGGCAAAATTCAAAGAAAATCCAGACAAATATGAATGATACCCATTCGGTGGTGTATTTGTAGCATCATTTTATGGTGGATATGTGTTCAGTGCACAGACCATAGTTCAACGTTGGGATTCTGAGTGGAGTCAAAGCATGTTTTGGTTTTTTCTTCCCATACAAGTAAAACATTTTCTCAATGGGAAAAATTAGGAATAGCGATGCGAATAATTGTATTTTTTAGGGATTTTGTTGCCATTAGTTCGTCATTCTCACGATCACACTTCAAATCATACTCGTTTTTTCATTCTTATCGACACTTTGATATTCACTATGCGCAAGAAAAGAATCTTTTCGCGGAATTTTTTTCGTCAGTTTTTTGTGGAGAAAAAAATAATAATGAAATAGACATATTAATGAATGAATTAAAAGACCAAATGCAAACTGCCATAACTGAAGAAGAGGTTTTTGATGCAATGAAAAAATTTCCAACAAATAAGGGAATTGGTGTGGATAACTTTCCACCTACTATCATAAAAAACTGTAGATTTTCATTAGCAAAACCGATTGTTCATGACCCAATGAGCCAAACACGTGCAATTATTGTGTTTAGTAAATTTTTTCCCAAATCGTGCACAATTTTTACACTTATTGTGCCCAGAAACAAAATTTTATCTAAATAGGCCCGAAAATTGCAAAATTTTTGCACTTTTAGTGCTACATTTAGCATTACATTAAAATATGCACAAAATTCAAACATTTAGCATTACATGTGTTCATTGGGCAATAAGTCATTGGAAAGCAGCATACTACCGAATTCTTTGAAAACTTCACACATTATTCCATTATTTAAAAAGTGCCCAAGAGAAAATGTTGAAAATTACAGAAGCATTGCACTACTGCCGTCATTACTGAAACTATTTGAGAAAATAATGTATAATAAAATAATGTCACATTTTAAGCCCAAAATAAGCGATTGTCAAAACGGTTTTGTGTCGGGCAAATCAATAAACACGAATCTAATGGAACTAGTAACATTTGCGAATGAAGCATTTGCTGAAAAACAAACACAGACTTCACTAAGGCGTTTGACAAAGTAGATCATGCAATATTGTTGAAAAAAATGATAGCACTGCGCTTTGACCCAGGCATAATTAAATGGATAGCCGCATATTTGAACGGTAGAAAAATGAAAGTAAAAATCAACAAATGCCTCTCAAGTGATTATATAATGCATACAGGAGTTCCAGCTGGTAGTATCTTAGGGCCAGTGCTGTTCCTAATTTACATCAATGATCTACCGACCATATTTGGAGAATACTACTGTGTCCAAAAAGTAAGGTGACATTGCATTTAAAATTTAGCGCGCTGGGGAATTTGAAAAAATCCTTTTATTTTTAGGTTGGTAGGACTGTCTTTGACATCCCTGCCAAATTACACGTCAAAATATTCATTAGTGTTTGAGATACGCTTCGTTTTGTGGACTGCTAAAAGTGAATTTCTCGTTTTTTGCGATGTCGAAATTTGTTGATCAAAGAATTTGCATTAAATTTTGTTTGCGGAATCTATTTTCTGCTGCGGATTCGTTGAGGATGGTGCAGAAAGCCTTTGGTGATGAGGCTATGTCGAAAAAAAATGTTTACAAGTGGTATAGTGAGTTCCAAGCAGGCCGTGAATGTGTCGAAGACGAAGAGCGTGCTGGGCGACCATCAACCTCAACCGACGAAGCTCACGTCCAAAAAATTAAAGATTTGGTGTTGGAAAACCGTCGATCAACGATTAGAGACCTTGCTGATGATATTGGCATATCGAAAGGCTCAGTCAATACCATTTTGAAGGATGTTTTGGGCCTCAAACGCGTCAAATCTCGACTGGTACCGAAATCATTGAATTTTTTGGAAAAAAGGTGTCGAGTTGACGTGTGTGAAACAATGCTTTCTGACTACATTGACAAGACGAAATGCATGATCACTGGAGACGAGACTTGGATCTATGCTTACGACCCGGAAACAACCGACCAATCGAGCGAATATCGTGCCAAAGGTGAGCCGAGACCAAAAAAACCGCGCCAAAGTCGCTCAAAAATCAAGGTCATGTTGACTTTTTTCTTCGATTATCGGGGTGTTGTGCATTATGAGTTCCTTCTTCCGGGTCAAACAGTCAACAAGGAATATTATTTGAGTGTTATGCGTCGTTTGCGTAACGCTATCCGCCAAAAGAGGCC